GAAACAACTAAGAGTGCTCTAGTCGAGAAAGCACGACCTCTAAATACTCTAAGGCGTAGGCAGAGGACGTAGGAATTAGAAGAGTTCATATTATTTTTGTCGGGAAAGTCAGACTTATGTCTCTTATTCTATAAGCTTCAATTAAAAAATCGTCAGCTTAAGAACTTATATAGATGGGCAAATGGATCCCTAGATCGGAGCTCTTCAGCGATTCGTTTTTATATCCTGTTAATGAATATCCATAGACTTTCTAGGAGTAACCTTGTCATTTCCTACACCATTCAATAAAATCAATATACTCCGTTTACTCTTACTCTATGCTTACCTGTCTCTCAATGTAGTTAGGGGCAAGTGTGAAAAACTGTCAACAACTAGAAAAGCATTCAAAATAGAATTTGTTAGGAAACCAAGAAAATTTGATTGCATTCAATTAAACCTTGATTTTTATTGCGTATTTTGTTTTGAGCATCAGCCTTGGAGATCTACTCCTCTCTGAGTTTTATGACCCAGTCAAGACTCTCAAGGTGTCGCGTCGTCTCTACGTCTGGCTGTGTCTTCTAACTAGTCCTGATTTCGCTTTCTGGCTTGGCGCGGCGGCGCTGCAGCTGCGCAGCCAAAATGTGGCCAACCGGTTGCTCATCGGTGCATCACTTTTCCTTTTTGTTACCCCACCTCCGCCGCCAGCGCAAAAAGCTTTTCCTTGACATAGTCAACTAGTTGGAAAGTTCTTTTTAGCAGCTGGATTGTCAAATCTCTGAAATGCCTGCCTGCCTGCCAGATGATATATAAAAATTGGAAATTTCCATTTGGCAGATGTCTTCAAGTAATCGAAGAGGCGAGACGTTAATGATGATCTGTCTGTCTTCGACCCTCTTAATTGGAATAGCCTTGAGTGCACATAGTAATGATACTTAAAGAGCTGATAGTTTTTCTGCTCGCTGATGCTGTACGAAAGGGTATATTGGATTTTGTGGATTTGCGATTGTAGATGGAGATGTAAGGGACATTAAAACGTCTCGACGCGTCATCTGATAAGAGAGATGAGTTTGTTTTGGAACTGGGTAAATCGAAAAATGAGTAGCAGATTAAATTGTATTCAATTATATTATTAGAGCTAGTCCTTGGATGTTTTACAGCTGAGTAATTGTTTAGTTGCTCTGGAGTAATACCCATTATAGAGAGGCATAGAAGGTTGACAGGGTCTAAGGATTGATTTGAGTCGGAGAATCTATGAACAAAGATCTACAGATTGATTATTGTCGAGCTACTCTACAGCTATACCTATAAATTATAGAGCTATGCTTATCAGAAGGTTGCCAGATCAGCAAAAACTGCTGAATAATAATAAATCAAATTCAGCTGTTTTTCCACTGGAGTGCAACAATTTTACAGAACAGATCTAGAGCTTATGGAGGAACTACCAGTCATGTGTGATCGTTTCAGACCAATCATTCTCCTAAATATATGCCAACTCCTGCAGCTCTGTCTCTGCATCTCGCCTTTGTTTGTTGTCGCGCCGTATTTAGCTCTTGCAGCCTGATGAGCTGTGGCACGCAGCATTTTATTGACTAACCGAGTGGCTTACTGACTCACGAGGCACGGCTCACGCTCGATGAGCAACTGCAATGCATTAAGGAAGTGAATCGCAGACCAGTTGCAGTTGCAGTCGCAGACGTGGAGGTAGACGCATCAGCCAAATGGATATTATTTACATGACAAGCAGACGACATTGAGATAGTTTTTGTTGTTGTTGTTGTTTTTTTTTTTTTTTTTTTGGCTACCTGCGCATGCCCAGCAGCAGCAGCAACAAAAGCAACAGCAACAGCCACAAGCAACAAGCAACGAGCCACAGCAACTACAGTAAATAACTTGTTGCGCTTTGTTCTTGATGAGATAAAAGATATACATATGTGTGTACAACAGGAACACGACAGCAATATGGCAACACGAATGTTCAGATACGAATGAGAGCGGCTACCTGAGCAAAAGTTGAGACACGGGCAAATTGTATGTGCGAATTTTCGCTCTTTGAGTGTTTTTGTGTTTTTGAGTTTTGAGTTAATTTGTGGCTGCCAGTGAGTGTGTGTGTGTGTGTGTTTGTGTGTTTGTCTGTGCATGTGTCTATGTGTGTATCTGCAAGATACAAAAATACACAAAACAAGCGGCGGCAAAACCCAAACAGCCAGCAGCCAAAAAAACAACAACAGCAACAACCTCTTGTTATTAGCTTCGCTTACTGGTTGTTGTTGTTGTTGTCGGCTGTTGGTTGTAGTTTCTTGTTGTTGTTGTTGTTGGTTATCGTCTCTGCAACTTGGGTTAGCAGAGTTACTTTCAGTTTGCCCGTCGGCAGTTGTTGAGCGTGTTTGAAGGCGTCTAGCTGTGCCGCATCTAGCGGAACCCAACGAAAAATACTGTTTCTATCTTTCTCTTCATTTCCTTGGCAAATAATAATTGTTGTAGTTAACTTTAGTTAATACACAAATACAGTTACAATTTGCGCGTAAGCTAGACGATTCCTTTTCATTTATATTGATTTTTATATATATTTTCTTTGTCTGCAGATTCATAACTCGAACACCGCGCTCCGGCAGTCGTCAAAGTGCTGGCCACTCGTCCCCGCCACCGCCCGTTGGCTACTATAGCGATTCATCCAACAGCTCGCCATCGCCCACACGTAGGCACCATCAGCAGCAGCAGCAGCAACAGCAACAACAGCAGCAGCAATCAGCAGCAGCAGGTGCAACAACAAAGACAACTGTTGATGCTGCAACTGCAACCGATCCGCAATCATCAACGAATGGCAATAGCTCCGCTTATGAGACAGCCGCCACATCTGTAATGACAAACGCCAGGCAGCTGCAGCTGCAGTCACAACACATCGAAGTTCCTAAGAGCACGTCGACAGCATCCAACATCGTTCACCTACGCCCCACAGCCGCCAACTCAGGTGAGTCGAGAAACGTATTTGCTTTGTGCCGTTGTGTTTTGTCCTTTAGTCCGTCTACCTTGCTATTGTTATGTGCCGTTTCATTCAATTGCTTGAACTGTTGAATTTTCATTAGATATAGATATGGTTATATATATATATATATTTATAGATATATGCTTTTTGACCAGCTTTTAATTTATTATTGCCTGAATCACACACAATTTATTCCCGCTATTTCATGCCTCTCCAGTACTGTCTTAGGCAGCGTACTTTGTCTTTGGTATTTATTATAGTTCTAGTATTTTCTTTTAAATATTTTCTGTATACTCGAGTCCTGTTTAAAGTGACGTTTGAAGGAACTTTAATTGTATATTTATCTCCTGTAATCTCTACATCATAGATTCTGCAATCATCTTTCCTTATCTAGCAGATGTTCGATGAGCCAACATCTTTGCTTAAAACTTGTACATTTGATATGACTTTAATGATCTATCCTTATATAAGGAGATCCCACACTCCTCATTCAGTAGATCATTCAGTAATCTGTACCTTTGCCAACTCTCAAGATTTCATCTCTTCAGCATTTTCGTCTTTACTTCTCTCAGCTGTTTTTCCTGCTTTCCCACCAAAACAATAAACACCATAATTAGCTAGACTTTCAGCTCCATCAGCCGTAAAGGTGAACTGTCAACATTACCAAAACTGCAAATTAGTTGAACTCTCAAGAGTCGAACACTTGAAAGATCTTGTTGCCACATTGCTTGATTCGATGTCTGTTCGAGCACTTAAAAGTAATTTGAACTAAATTAGATCTTGTACTGCTTGCCAATCGAGCGCAAATCTTTGCTAAGACCTTCAAAAATTGCTAAACAACAAGAAACCAGAAAAAAAAAACTACGAGAAAACTAAAAATAGACTTCAATACGTGTCCAACGAATTATATAAGTAGCAATCACAATTTCAAAATAATTATTTATATTATGTCTAAAACAATTTTGCAATATTTTGCATTATCTGCAAATCTAAAGATTTGATTTTGTAAATTTTTGCATAGATTACAAAAAAAAGTAAGACTTAGGCAAATCGATGATTTCGTTAAATTGCTAAACAGAGAGAAAGATAAAATATATAATGAGCATGCGACACGGCTGTGCCCATTTAATTTATTTATCAATTCAACTAAAAATATAAAAAACAAACAACAAACTTTGATTCATTCAAAACTTTTTGCCATCTTCTTCTTCCTTTTTATTATCAATTTGTTAAACAGTTTCATAAAACATTTTGACAGTCTCTCATAACAACGGCGCTCGAGAAAGTGGCCAAAAAAAAAAAAAAAAAACAAACTTGATTGATTGACAAATTTACATAGTTCGAAAACCTCATCTGATAACTTCATATGTCATAATGAATATAAACCTCAATTTCCCACGAATCCCATAAAAGTTCTTCAATAGATCGAAGTTTAAAGTGTTTGTTTTTTTCCACTTTAGTTACCTTACTTAACCTATATTTCGTTTGATTCGATTTGATTTACAAATTTTGCAACGATATATTTTATTATATATCTTTGTTTTTTTCTTGTGTTTTTGGGGTTCGGCTTTATTGTTTGGGCTTCAGCGTTATTAATTTCATTTCTTTGTTTGCGTCTCACTCGTGCCCCATGTGGACCTTTTTGTCTAGGGCCAATGCTCGTAGCATAAAGTTGACTGATCTCTGACTGACGGACATATGGACATTGAACCGAAGCAGCTCAACTTGTTTCTCTCCAACGCTTTGGCAAGCATTTACCAGATTATTTAACTCAAATGGGTTAGAGAACCAAGTTCTCAAAGAGAACTATTGAGTAGTTCCATATAGAGTTCATCTACGTGTTTGTTCCAAATGTAGGTAACGGAAGATGATAGCAGGCATGATCTATAATATCAAATATATATGTATTATGGATCGAGAACAATAGCCGAGTCCATTTAGATCTTTGTGTTTGTCTATAGAACGAAAAGCGCGACTTTTGTTTATAAATGATCGATTATCGATTGAAATCGATAGTATAGCTTAGTTATTGCACGATTATATTAGAGTATTCAAATTCGCTAAAAATCTCTTTGGCTTGAGTAGACACGACTACAAAATACTTCAGCATTTGACTACCTAGCCCCATGGCCCCACCCAACATGGGGAAAACCTTTCGTACATAGAAAGTTGTGCCGAACAATTTGCCAACAACGATCAAACAATCACACCCTATTGTGTTGATTGCATGTGATGCAATTAAAATGACTTGCACACACACACACACACACTCACTTGCACAACCCCACACACACACAACATAGATATGAATTTGCTTAAATCTCTTCTGAAACATACTCACGCATATCCTTGCAAACATTTATCAATTGTGACGCAGCGATACCCAATACTGTTTCCTCGACAAGCGCCAGCAAACGCAGCATTTATTTCACTTGCAACATCAACAACAACAGCAACAGCAACAGCAGTAACAGCAACAGCAACAACAGCCGCTTTAACAATAACAGCCAGCAGCATCAGCAACAGCAACAGCCTTGCCACGCCACGCCCATGCCACCCCTTGCCACGCCCAGAAGCAAAGCGCCATTGATAGTGCTTAAAGCGACTGCAGCAGCAGCAGCAACAACAACAACAACATCTGCAACTGCCACTGCAACAGCAGCAGCGTCGCCTTCAAAGCGCCGCAAAAATTTGCTTTCGCCTCTGCGCATTGGCAACAGCAGCAGCGGCCACACGCCCCCACAGTGTAGTCCGCTGTTGAGCAGCTCCTCATCCTCGCCCCAATCCTCGCCAGCGGTGCGCACAACCAAAGCCAGTCGACTGCGTGCCGCAGCGCTCGGTGAGTTATTCATTCAGTCATTCGATACACGATTCATCTACACACGCACACGCATACACACTCACCTACATGCTCTCTACACTCTGCTCTCTATTGGTGTTGGTTTCCTAGTTGTAGCGTAGATATTATTGCTCAGTTTTTGTTATCCCCAATGCTGAAGAATCCTAACTAACTGCCATTTCATGCTGTCTTCCCCACCATTTGCAATGCGCACCCTCACACGCACACACAATCAGATCGCAAGAAAGAAGAGGATCAGCAGCAGCATCAGCAACCGCCGCATCCACGTCCTCGCTTCACTTCACCCAGTGCACTGCGTGTAAACTCCACGCCGCCTGGCCGACGCCTGAGTAGCTCGGAGCTGTCGCCCAAGCGCAGCAGCAGCAGCGGCTTCAACTCGGATACGCCAAGGAATACGGCACGTTCGGCATCGCAGCCAGCGGAGCCGTTGGAGCGACGTCCGCTGGTGGCCACGGCCAACAATCTATCCATGAAGCAGAATCTGAGCGAGCTGCACTTTACGGGCGGACCACTGAGTCCGGCCAAGGCCGAGTGCACACTGCACATGCGGCCCAGAAGCTCCACGATGTGCGCCGAGGTGGAACCCGAGGACGGAAGCGGCGCCAGCGTGGGCAAGCAACGTGATAATCTGACCAACCTGCAGCTGAGTCCCGTGCAAAAGCACAAGCGAACCGTGAGTCAACTTCATATAGACTATATCGATTCATTTAAGCAGCAGATTTATTTGTATTCTTTCAGCCGGAAGCCTCACCTTTGCCGCGTCGCAGCGGTGATCGCGATAAATCAGCGAAACGCAAATCGAATCTGAATCGTTCATACAACGAGGAAGCCACCAAGGATAGCGGTAAGTGGGCCATCCAAGCACCGAGTGGCTAGCAGAGGAGTGAGGCGAGGCCTCAGGGCATCATCGTCAGGCTTGATTGCCCCAGCGGTGGCGATCGTGCAGCATTCAGTGCCTCGATCGGCGTCTCATCATGTGGCACGCAACGAGCATTCAACACGTTCAATACTGTTGCAACTGCATCACTGTGTATATCATGATAGCTTCCTGCTCGAATCTGTTATACGTACCAGCTGTTGGCAATGTGTTATGCTGCTCCCACTGTCCAGTTGCATGTGTTTCTTGATTGTTTCTCGTTTCATTTCGTCCATTTGGTGTGGTTCACACTCATATTCATGTTTGCTTTCTTGCCTTGCAGATGAGAATTCGTCCATGCGCCGGCGACGACGTCGTGAACTGGGCATGGCTCGTCCTTTGATGACCGGGGATGATGAGTCGCTGCGAGAGCTGCTGCAGCCAGCGCAGCCGCAGACGCCTCCGCAGCCACTGCCGAGGAGCTCCTGCAGCGAATCTGCATCCAAATCGGAATCGTTGCGTCTGGCACGTGGCCTGAGCCAAAAGCTAAACGAGCGCACCAAAACGGATCTGGCCGAGATCAAGAAAATAGCCGAACAGGCGCAGGTGACATCGGGTCAGCATGAATCGGCGCTGCGACGCAAGAGCACGGATGAAGTAGCTTCGTCCTCTGCGCTGGCTGCAGCCTCCGTCTCCACACAGAACTCGCCGCCTGCACCCAACCAGATTGTGTCCATACTGAAGAAGAAGGAGCACGCCTTTGGCGAGTGCAATTCGAGCGCCTCCAGCAATGCGTCGCCGGTGACGTTCTCGGCCACGGTGCTGGACACGCCGCTGGCGACGAGCAGCCGGAGCAAACGCCAGGGCATACTGAAGAAGCGTTCGAGTCTGGATGAGTCGCGCTACTATTCTCGCTCCCATTCGCCCGACGAGCGAAGTATTCTGATCAAGTCGGCACGTCGCAATTCCCTGGAGGAGGCGGGCATCACGCTCAGCTCTGGGCAGGCGCACGGCATCCTCAAGCAGAGCAGCTACGAGAGCTCCAAGAGCGATGGCTGTCCATCGGCCAACGAGTCACAGCCGCACAGCATCCTGAAGAAGAAGGACTCGCTGTCGACTCCCTCGGATGGCGGTGGACACGTCTCGAAACACGTTTCCATCTCGCAGGCGGTCACCTTGGCCGCCGCTGAGCTGGCGGCGCACGACGGCAGCCTCGCCGGCATCGAGGACAGTGAGGAGCACGAGATACGGCCAATCCTCAAGCAGGAGAGCACCTCCAGCGAGGAGGCAGCACGACCACCAAAGCCCATTCTAAAGAAGAAGTCGTTCGGTGAGGCCGATGAGCACGAGATTCGGCCCATACTCAAGAGCAGTCGCAAGAGCAGCCGCGAGGAGTTCGATTTAAGTGAAGTGACCCAGGAATCTAATGACACCATTGCCAATGAGGCAAACGCCATGCGTCCCATATTGAAAACGGACTCCCCGTCGAAGCGTCGCTCTCTTGGCAACGCTCAGCTCGCTCAGGAAGAGAGCGCAACGAGTTTGCTCAAGCGTCGCACTCGCTCCCTGGAACGCCAGGATGCGCCGCCTGTCATGAATCTGGCTGCCGCCTTGGATGCCATAACCAATTCACAGACGCCCGTTGATATTGTGACAACGCCGTCGAACATCTCGGTGGCTGAACGCATCAAGCACATGGAAATGCTATCGACACCCCCGATGAGCAGCACGATTGGCCCAGCTGGTCTCAACAGCAGCTGGGACTCGCCGCTGCAGCAGACAACGCAGTTGAACGACTCCGGCGCCACGCCCAAACTGTTGAAGCCCAGTGTTCTACGCAGAGATCTCTACAAAGATCGTTACAAGACGCAGCCAGTGACCAGCGAGGAAAAGAGCTTGTGAGTATGATAAGTGAGAGGAATGTGAATGTAGACTCTTTTGGGATTGCTCGGAATATGTAGGACTTTTGGCATAGCAGAGTTTGAGCTACTTTTTAAGCGATCGCTATTGTAGACTATAAAAAATTGTATTTCTCTTAGTCTTTATTAAGGAGAAGAACTTGTAAGGGGACTCTCTTAGGATCCCTAGGAATCGATTTAGTTGTCGGGCGTCCAGCTTCAGACGGCATTGAAGCTTATAACAAATTGTATTTCACTTAGTATTTAGTGAAGAGAAGAACTTGTATGTAGACTCTCTTAGAATCCCTCGTAATCTGTCGCGCTTCCAGCTTCAGAGGGAATTTTCTAGGCTTCTTTGTAAATATCCCTGAGTGCAGCTTGAGTTACTCTTTAAGCGATCTCCATTGCAAGTAGACTCTCTTGGCAGTTGTCGGGCTTCCAGCTACAGAGGGCACTCTCCAGACCCTCTCCCGGCCTCCGTATTCGCCTTGAGTCCAGTTTGAGCTACTCTTCAAATGATTTCCATTTAAGCCAATCACAAATTGCATTTCATAAAGTTGTTGTTGACACCTTAAGCGGCTTATTGCTTGCCTAATTACCTCACTGACTGACTGACTGACTGACCAGTGAGGCCAACAGTGCTGCAGAAATACATAAGACCATAAAAAGAGAAGGTTGCGTTACTTGAGGGGCTTGAGTGGCTCGAGTGTGGCGGAATAGACTTGTTTAAATGTTGAGCCACTCATAGATTGATAACATTTCAATAAATTGAGAGCAATGCTTTTTGGTTGTGTGTGCGGCGTGTGTGAACGCAAGTTCAAGCGCAAATGACCTTGGTAGTTGGTATCTTTTTGGCAATTAGTATAAACACGCCCAAGAACTCTCATCACGCCCTTTTTCGGCGAATTGCCTGTGTGTGTGTCGGCGCCAATGGTACGCTCGTAAACCCCGTTTCCAGATAAGTGTACCGCTCGTTACCAACTAGTATTCTCGACTGCTGCTCAAAGAAGAATAGACCAAAGTAGAGAACCGACCGACAGACACCTTCTATTTAACGGGGTTTTCATGTCAGCATTTTATGTGCCTGGGCTTTTTTGTGTTCGTATACCTGGCTGCGTTTGTTCCGTTTGCCACACCCCTCGAGGCGTATCCGAAATTTCTGACGAACTCAACAAAAGCTGATATTGGGAATCATATTTAGTATTCGGTTTTTTGTATATACTCTTACAAAAATTAGGTGAAATGGAGTTGTATGGATGTAGATATTGTTTTAAAGAATGTTGAACACATTGTTAAGATCTAGATTGAAAAGTTCTTAAAGTAGTCTTAAGGTCTTAAGGTCTTTAAGCATTCACATCCTTAGATTTGATTTGGTATATGAAAATACTAGACAAATTAATACGTTAGCTTCCACTTTTCATCGAATTTTGTATTATAGTAGTTAAATTCTATTTATTAGAGTATTCAAGGTTCGTCAATCATAAAACGAGTTCTTTTATTACTATTCTTGACACTCCCCCATATTATATTTCATATTTGCCAAGCCGTATTCAAGTACATATTCATATTCCATATATTCCAACCTCTCCAGTTTCACTATCTGTCCAGAGTATACAAGCGTCGTCAATCATATGAAATAAACTCTCTTTTGTTGCTATTCTTCGCACTCTGCCGCATTTGCATGCGTCGATCCGATTCGATGTATTGTCTATAGCTTTTAGCGACTGCCATTGTGATGCGCAAATTTATGCCAGCCATATTTGCAATGCCTCCTGTAAAAGGGGCGGGGGCGATGGGGGGGCTTCTCAAGGCCCGTCTTTAGTATTGTTTTTGTATTTTTTTCGAATAGTCAATGTGTTGCTTGGAGCGTTGCATTCAGTTGGCTATCGCATGCGAAAGCGTCCACAGATACTTTTGACTTGGTTCGGTTAGCGATTGTTAAGGGTTGAGCGCTCTTCCTCTTCTCATGTTGTTCCAGCGTCGACAGAGCGAAAGAATGTTTGAGGCGTATATCAGAAAACGGTAAATAGAAATTGGAAAACTATAGCAAAATGCAAATGGCTTGCACAAATAGCATTGCCAATTGTGCAAGCCATAAAAATTCAACGACTCTGCGATAAGTGTTATACAAAAGGTGTGACGCGTTTTAATGGCCTACACTTGTAGCTATTGGCCAGATAACGTATACGACATCAAGGACTGTATAGAGTATTTATAGTACTAGCTAGTATACATGTGTTGTCTAATAAAATAGTAGATTGATAATGATTAGATTATTGCATTGCCCTTAGGATGAGTCCGTTGATACGTTTAGTGTTTGAAAACTGTGGTAAATTCGATTGGTTTCTTTGGCCTGTGAGTTAGTTTGGGGCCAAAAATACAATTACAAACGCGGTTTCAATTGACGCTAAATAACTGTTTACTTCTTTGATTAAGCCAAATTTAGTGACAACCTCTGTACTTGGATTTTCTCTTACCAAAGAGAAAAGTCAGGAATCGGAATCGGAAAAACTTTTCGTACAACAAAGACATTTTGAAATTGTGGAAAATAGAGAGAGAGAGAGAGAGAAAATAGTGTACGAAAATAAATGTGCGTATGTATGAGAATGTGTGTGTGTGTGTGTGTGTGCAGACCATGGGCAATAAAACGAAAACAAAGCTGAAAATAATTTAAATTTTGCTGTGGCCGCAATGGCAGCGCCGCCGACAGCGACGCCAACGCCGACAGCGGCAGAGGCGCCGCCGTTGATCGTCGGCTACGCTTTGCCCACTTTGTTTTTACAAATTTTGCGCTCAGTTGCTCGCGATCGCCTTTTCAATTTTCAACGGGGCCGCTCCGGCTGAAAATTTGGTGTTTTCATTTCGGGAAAATCTATTTGAAATGTATATGTGTGCGATTGCGTGCGTACATGTGTGTCTCTGTGTGTGTGTGTCAATATATAACGAGCATAAATAAATAGTAAATCGTTATAAAAAAAGAAAAAAAAAACAGAAAGAAATAAAGAAAAAAGCCAACTGATAAAAAATATCAAATCTATCGGCTCTTGGTTCTTATCAGCCGTCGCATAGGTAAAAGAAAACACAAAATCTATCAGTTTCCAAGCACCGGTCTCACGAAGCTGTCGCCAGTTGCTTTAGACACCGGTTATCGGGCAGTGGTAGTGCCCCTAGACAGACAGAGACGGTGATAGGGAGATAGGGAGAGGAAGTCGCTTCTCACCTACCAAAAAGCGCGTGTTAATCGTTGTCATAGTCAGTTATTACATATAGCCAAATGGAAAAGCTGCGGCAATAACATTTCGTAATGTTCTAAAAATAAGTCCATGGAAATTGTGCACTCAAATGGAAATACATATGAATTCCTCAACAAAATAAAAACACAAAATCCACAATTTTGCTGTGAAATTTGCAAAAAAAAAAAGAAAAATATCAAAATTAATTTTATATTAGTGAACTACAAATAAAAGTGCAAAATTCAACAAAAATATTTTTTAGGTCAGAGACTGTGAAATGTGGTTAACCGTGGTTCGAATATTAGTTAAAAATTAATGATTAATAATCATAATTATATATGTATAAATGTACATGTGTATTTATATATGTGTTATCGATCTTTTTTGCATTATGTATATGTATATATACATATATATATCCCAGCTGTTCTTCGTTTTTTTATATTTTGGCATCTCTTAAGAATACTCTCTCGCTCTCTTCCCCTGCTTCTCTCTGTCCCCCCCCCTCTCTCTCTCTCTCTCTCTCTCTCTCTCTCTCTCTCTC